TAAAATAGTTGTTAACTGGGTTGTTTGACATTTGCAAAAGCCGGGTTAACATTGTTTGAACAGAAATGTATGGCCGCAGAGTTATTCAATGTTATGTCATGTTTACATAATATTTGGATGTGGGTTGTATTTTCTTTTGTAATATATATTTATGTAATTTTGAATTTGATGCTGACATGTGTATTAACATAGAAAACGTGAATTTATTTAATGGAAATATAATCCAAATACAAACTGTTTGTATCGCAAAGTTCGTACTTTTAAATACTATTTTGGTTTAGTAGAATAAAGCAACCATCGTGAAAACAAAATAGTCAGATTATTAGGTCTATCTAAATGAGTATAGCTTTGAATTGTTTAATATTTTTCAAACTTCATGTATTTGAAGATGTTTGATTGAATTTGCTAGTTTTACCAACATATATTGAATCACAATCTAAACAATTAATTGATATATCAGATTTCTAAAGCGTTCGACATTCTAAAAACTGCTTGAGTTCTGGTAAAATTATTTTAAGTAGTAGATTCAAAATTGTTTGCTAGTTGTAGTTATAAAAAAGTTTTGCCCAATTAAGGTATATTTTTTGTAGGTATAGTATATCTATAGATAAACATGTATAATGAGTATATCATTAATTATGTTCAATGAAGTTAATTATGCTCATTGGATAGAAGTAATTGGTTACAAATTTCACATTTGTTACCTATATATGAAATATATGAGAAACTAAGTAAGTTATTGTAATCCAAAAATCGAAATTGAAAATTTTTACATTTCTCGACGTTTTTAAACGTTTTTGAACATTTTAGTATGCCTCAGAAAAAATGGATGTGTGTGTGTATGTATGTATGTATGTATGGATACAATTTTTCGTCCACGTTTTCGGGCGCAGGGATCAACCGATTTGAATGGTTAAAAAAAATCGATTTCTATTGATAGGGAGATGTTCTGATTAATTTTTGGCAAAGGCAGGTCTAGCCGTTACGGAGATACGGAGCAAAGAGTGCAGAAAATACAAATCGAGTTTTTGAGAGAACGGACTATTCGATTTGAATGATCTGAAACATTCAATTTGTAATGATTGGGAGAAAAGGTGATTAGTTTTTAGTAAAGGCAGGTCTAGCAATTTTGAAGATACAGAGCTAAATGTGCAAAAAATGGCAGTTTTTGAGAAAACTAAGCATCCTATTTGAGTTATTCAAAAAACTTTTTGCTTGTTTCAACAAAATAATTGCTTTTGGAGAAAAAATTATTTCTAATTTTTTTTCAATATAATTTTTTTTTGTATATCGAAAATAATTCAGATTCTATTTTTAATTCTGTTCTATATACTATAAACAAATAATTTCAACTTTGCAATTCAGTTTTTATAATTCTTATAAATATTAGACAATGCTACAATATTTATAAAAATCTATATGAAAACATTTGATATTTCTCGATCATTTTGTTACGGTACGGGAAGTTCCAGCAATTTGCCTCAAGGCACGATGCCATATACCACTAGTTTACAGTATGGATATAAAAAACTTTCAAAAAATTTCAAAATTTACAAAATTTTCAAAAAACATTTTAATTTTTAAGAAAATTCCAAAAAATTTGTAAGTTTTCAAATTATACCAGTATTTTAAAAAAAGGGAATTTTTCTCAATTTTTCCAACATTTAAAGTTTTAAAATGTTTTTAAAATATGAAAAAAAAATTTTTTCAACAAGTCAAATTTACAAAATTTCTTATCCCATATCCATTGTTATTCATGTCTCTTGGAAATAAATGAAGAAACATCAACGTTTACGTCTTCTCATTTATTATTCTGATAGCTTTGTGTAAATTTGAGGCGTCTGAAATTGCTGAAATTTAAAACTTTCAGTTTTACGAGCACAGACATAAATTTAACATGAGCTATGTAAGATTATTTCGTGTAAGTGCTCTTTGACCTTAAACTCAAACTATAAAGTTGATTTTATTGGAAATGGTAATAAAATACGAAAATTTAGTGCGGAGAGTAGTAAATTTTGAGGAAAAATTAAATGTTAAATGCATTTGACGATGCAGTGCTTCCAGATTAAAAGGTTAGACTGACGTTCTAAATTTTCTTCAAATGCTATAGATTTTTAAAATGATAAAGTTTCTTAATTGAAATGGAATTCAATAACATTTTTTCTATCATAGAAAGCCAAATTAGGAAAGCACAAAATGTTATTATTTAAATTTGGGATATTGAAAAGTTAATTAATTATCATTGATTTTGCAGAAAATGACCAGTTCTATCAATTTGTATCCGGTACCAAAATTTTGTAAAATTTTGAAACCATATTGGACTTTTAATTCTTTTTTGACAAATGACATGGTATAATCTATTATTATTTTTCTATTTTGGCAGTCCCTGCTCTATTTTCTCATATCCACATTTGAATTTATACGTCTCCATACATTTGTTTACTAGCAAAAGTACATATTCGCACATGTAAATCAAAAGCCTTTTAGGCAAGGCGTTTTATCCTTCATGGCTTAGATCTACGGAACATCATGCAAATTGGAATGATATTATTCAGTCACAAATGGAAATAGGAAAGCTAGAGGAAAATTTATTCCATAAAAACATTATCTGTAATAAGATTGTCTTTGTTGCCTAAAAAAAGTTTTTTTAGTCTGATCATACTTAATTTTATTTTATGAGCCATCTAACAAGTTGACACCAGTAAATTAGTTTCTGAATTGAACAAAACATGTTTTTTTTCAGAATCAATATAGAAACCAATTCTGTCGCATAACAGAAAAATGTTATGGCAAGGCCATGTTATGAAAAACTTTCCATACTAAATATTGACAAAAGCCATGTGGTTGATGTGCAGCCAGGCGTATTTCTCAGGTTGTCGGACACGAAACCTAACCTAGAAACCGCTCAAATGTCAAAAAACGATATTAGATAACAGGGTGTTTCTGACTCGGCTTTATAACATACGAGTGACGTTGCAGTTTATGTATAAAACGCCTGAATAAACAACAAAGACATGACATTTTGACAGCATTCAGTATGATCCAGTAGCATAATGTGTGGAAGTTGGAGCGTAACATGGCCTTGCCATAACATTATTCTAGTCAGCTCATCTCTGATTTCAATAAAATTTGTATCTTTTACATTGCCAAAAAACAATATTTAATAAAGTTGTAGTTTGTAGTATAGTGAAGCACTTCATGGAACAATGAAACTTTTTCTCTAGTGAGAGTTTGGGTACAAGAACTACATTTAAATTCCAAATCTCAAGTTACACCGTATATAAGATTCATTATTTCTATCTAATATATATTTCCCCCAGCCCTCCCTCTAATGATTATTCAGTCTCCAATATGATCAAGGAGCAGCTGCATGCATCAGGGTTAAAGTCAGAGCTCTTTGCATAATGCTTCGACTTGCGGCTTGGGAAATGCATAGAAACTACACTATTCTTCTTCGGAAAATCCACTTTTCTTCCACAAACACATTTCTAGACTTATCATTTATGCACGTCGAATATCTACAGTGTTTTACTTATGTCGGAAAAGGAAAATGCAATCGGTATCGAACTGGAAACGCAATGTTCGAGTGACCTGGGGAAATGTGAAAATTGGAAAAGTTTTTGTGTACAGCACTACACTGTTTGGTGTTTATATTCGAATGAGAGCTGACAAAATAACACACAAATACATACACACATACATTTTAGTAAATTTTTTTGAGGGTGTGTCTTTCAAAGTAGACCGATTTCAAAAATTTTAAATTCATGGTTCAACGAGAAATTGAAAACTTGGGGCAAGTGTGTCATTACTATTGACTTTGCTCCTATAAATCTTTTTCATAATTACGATTCCAAATTAACTAAATTAACAAAATTAAATTATTAAAATTTCTAAAAATTATCCACAATAACCCAAAAATGGTAACAATTTTGCCAAAGCTCTATGTTGCACTTGAAAACTTATATTTTTCAAACTACGTGATACATTTTTTTTGTAGTTTTTTTTTGCCCCCTTTCGACTTGATGTTGAGTTCTGGGACATCCTGGTCTAATTATAAATATAATACTGCAAATAAATATACAAACGCTATATAAATTAAAATTACATCTACTATATTATATTAATATTAAACAAACACGAAATCAAGAAACTATTTCAGAAATTTATATCCTCAAACTTTGTACATGAGAATGTCTCACAAGCAAACTTATGATCGAAACTATATGGAGACCACAATATATAGAATTTGTGAAAGTTTCGAAATTTACAAAGTTACAACAATAATCATCTTAGGATAGTGCTATCTTTATATATGTTCATAAATAGATAGACTATAGAACTATCTTCATCTACGCCCTTAACCAGGATAGGTTTGATGGTGAAAAATATTATAATTTTCTTTTAAACCACATTAATAATATTTTAGGAGGTTGGCTTTGATCATAAACTCTATTAGTATGCAAAGTTTCATCAAATTTACTAACGAGGAAACATAGTATTCTCCTAAGTTATCTATTGCTTTGAGATTTTAATATATTAAGAAAATCCTTTATTGGATTTCACTGGCTCACAAAATTCTCTTCCGAGCTATGGATTCTTCAGCGAAGTTTCTAGTAATAACAAGTTATATCAAATTTACATCATTAACGAGGAAACATATGGGATTCTCCTAAGTTATCATTACTTAATTAAGAAAATCCTTTATTAGATTTTACTGGCTCATGAAATTCCCTTTCGGGCTATGGATTCTTCAGCAGTTTCTAGTAATATACATTACATATTTTATCTCCTTATTTTAGAAAACAATCAGAACATTAGTCACATTCTATGAGTTATTTTAATCGACTTCAATGAAATATAATTATATATATTGTAGTTACCCCAATGGGTATTTACTATTACATAAAATTTTACTGGATCAAGTTAATTGACCATAATTCTGCTAGTCTTCTTAATTCTGGTGTTAGAATATATTACATATAAATTTTATTATTTTTTAGGCCCTGTGACAGAAATCTCAGGGATGCAGAACTAATAACATGTCGTTTAAAACGTGTTGAACAACTATGCCAGTTGCCAACCTCTGTACTTCAGCAACTTGCCATGTGTGGTTATTATGAAGATTTGGAGAAAGGAGTTACATGTAAGTACTTTTTGTAAAAAATCATATATATATATATATATATATATATATATGTACGACTTCAGTTTGATTTACATAAAAGTTACAAAAATGCAAATTTCCTCACCATTTAAAAAGTACTTAGCACTCGTGCTCATTAAAACAACACTTTTTATTTATCCGAACGTTCCGTTTTTCGTCCTCTCAATGGATATTATTTTTTTTAAAACGAAACCACTTCGAAAAAAGTTTCAGTATTCTCTTTTATTTCCAACACCAACATTGGAAGGAATAAATAAATATTGATTCGTACTTTGCAGTTTTCAAAATGAGCTTTTGTCGAATACGTTTTCTTTTAGGGCTTTTGTAAATTGTTTGGAATGAGAAAAGATCAGTACTGAATGGTTTGTTTTATTTGCAAAAAAAAAATCTATGAGTAAAGGATACTTTAAATTACTGCCAAAATATATAAAAACTGGAAATAGCTATTTTCTCGTTTATTGTTTTTTTTTCAACTCAAATTTGTCTTAATGAATATACACGTCTTGAATTAAAAATGTAAATTTAGAACCAATGATTATATTTTAAAAATTCATATAAATCCAAAGAAATTTTTAACATCGTCCCAAAATCAAAATCAAAATTTTTTACATTTCTTCACGTTTTGAAGGTTAATCATTTTGGCATACTTCAGAACAAATGGATGTGTGTGTATGTAAAGGAAACAATTTTTCGTACACGTTCCTGAGCCCACGGATTAACCGATTTGAATGGTTCAAACATTCAAAAAAAACATTCGATTCCTATTGATATGGAAATGTGCTGATTAGTTTTTGGCAAAGGCAGGTCCAACCGTTTCAGAGATACTGAGCAAAGAGTGCAGAAAATGCAAGCGAATTTTTTTGAGAGAAGAATCCGTTTTGAATGATCAAAAAAAACATTTCAATTGTAATGGTGAGGAAAAGTGGTGATTAGTTTTTCGTGAAGGCAGATCAAGCCGTTTTGGAGATATCGAGCTAATTGTGCAAAAAATGCCAGATTCTGAGAGAACTAAGCATCCAATTTGTATGATTTAAAAAACTTTCTGCTTATGTTAGCGAAACAATTGCTTCTGAATAAAGAATTGATCTCAAAATTTGAAATTTCTTTTTTCAAAATTTTTTTTTGTTGTCTATCGAAAATAAATCAGATTTTAATTTTAATTTTGGCTAAAGTTCTAAAACTCACTTATCTACTTTACATAAATAATTTTAACTCTGCAATTCAATTTATAAAATTCTTATAAATATTAGACAATGTTACTGTATTTATTTATAATAATCTATTTGAAAATATTTAATATTCCTCGAACATTTTGTTACGGTACGGGAATTTCCAGCAATTTGCCTTAAGGCACGATGCCATACACAACTATTTTAATTTTCAACTATAAAATTATGACTAAAATTTGTCTCAAGAAGAATACACGACTTAAGATAAAAATATAAATTTATAACCAAAGAATATATTTTAAAAATTTACATAATTTCAAAGAAATCTTCTTCACAACTTCCATATAGTAGTAGCAATTTTTCTATTGTCATAATATTTTGAAACAAACGACAAACGCCAACAAAACATTTTCTTAATGTCAATTTTATTCATCTATTGATTTCTGTATCCATTATTCCTCCATGTGGCTCAAAGCTAAATATATATTTTCTAGTATAATTTTTATAAAGATATTTATAATACTAAAGTTCCAAAAACCATTATTCACAAATGTAGAAAAACCAAAACACTGTGTCATTAGTGGTGATAAAATATTTCGTTATTGGCACAACGCCAGTAGAGATTTATGGCTTTATGTACAGCCAAATACAGATACTATTATTCAAAAACCTGTCCAAAAAATAGAACCAGTTTTTTTGTTGGTAATTGTTTGCTCTGCTACAGGAAACTTTGAAGCTAGAAAGGCAATTCGGTCAACATGGGGTAATAAAAATAATTTGAGCTATAAAAAATATCTTGAAGAGAAATATGGAAATGATACTGGCAGCAATATTGGTAACACTAATAGTGAAATCGGAAATATCAACATGAGAATATTATTTCTTCTGGGATTACCTGATGGTGATAAAAACATACAAAAGAAAATTTTAGCAGAAAACAAGAAACATGGTGATATTATCCAAGAAGACTTCATTGATTCCTACGGAAATCTTACTATCAAAGTTGGCATGATGTTAAAATGGATTTGGACAAACCACAATGACAACATTGAATATATTCTCAAAGCAGATGATGATGTGTATTTGAACATACATGAATTAGTAAATGAATTAATATACATCTACAGACAACCAATTATGCTCATGGGATTATTAGTCACAAACCAGGAACCATATAGCAGCCGTAGAAGTAAATATTATTCACCAAAACATATGTACGACTACAAAGTTTTTCCAGATTACCTTAGAGGATGTTCCTATTTGATGACACTAGAAGCAGCTCTTACATTATTTGAAACTGCCTTGGATACACCAATTCACTATTTGGAAGATGTGTTTTATACTGGAATTTGTACTGTTGGTGCAGAAATTCATCTGGTACACAATGAAGGTTTTGCAAAGAGAAGTGATCCTGATATAAATTGTAAATATTTATGTGACATAACGATTTGTAGCATGAAACCTAAACAAATAATAAAGGCTCACAAGAAAAGTAAAAGATGTAGACTACTGTACAAATGTTAAGGGAAAAACAAATATTAGATGTTTACGTGTAAAAGTCAAGGAAGGGAACTACATTGCAAGACTTGGGAGTCTTCTGCAAGTTTTGAGTATAAAAGAACTTAATGTCTGCCATTTATATATATAATTGTCAAAAGATATTATGGAGAAAAATTTGACAAATGATATTATGCCAATAAAAGTGTATAGCAAGATGCAGAGAAAATGGCCCTTACGTTTCTGGTAACAACATTTGGTTTTGGCCATGTAAATTATATAAATGTATTTGTCATTGGCTGTAATAAAAATCTCTGAAGATTTTGAAATGTTTTCTATTAATTGTAATATCTGTAGTTTACTTGTTTCATTTATTATGCTTATAATCCAATTAATTTAAGAGTACAATTCAATCAATCCTTAGAAGGTCTTCACCAAGTTCCTGAATCTTCCATGTTTCCACTTCCAATATTTTTTCCAGATCCATCAATGATACAGGTTTGCAAAAAAGTCAAATTTATCACAACTACTTGCCAATAGGTACATTTCACTAGGATTCAAATTATGTGATGTAGCATGGTAAGAAAATTCACAATATCCCATAAAAACTTTTTCGTTAGTAAAGATTTTACTGTTCACAACTGGTATACCAGCAACAAGTGCACATAATCCTGTGTAGTAAACATCATCCAAATGGTATATTGGCATATTTAAAGCTATTTGGTAAATTTTTAGAGCAGTATCCATACTCATTACAAAAGCAGATCCGCTGAGAAAATTTGGGTGAAAATCATGTGGATACATATGTACTGGCGAATAAAATTTGCCTTGTTTGTACCTACTTGGTTGATCATTAGAAATCAACTTTCCCAATAATATTTCATGATTGTTTTTCATATTTTGTAACGTGAACACCAGTTTGTACAAGTTGACGTACACGTCATCATCAGTTTTCATGATGTACTTTACATTTTTCAGGCAGTTCTTAGATATCCACTTGAGCATCATCCCAGTTTTTATAGACAGGTTTTGGTAAGTGTCTATAAAGTCTTCTTGGATGATATCTCCAAACAATTTGTTTTCTAAACGAATTTCATCTTGAACTATAGCATCTACATTATTCACGCCTAACATAAATAATATCCTTACACCAACATCTTGATTTGGTAGCTGATCTTGACCACCAGTTGTTTTATTGATGGACGTTGGTATTTTTAAATCATACTTTCTATAATCTCCACGATATTTATCGTAGTCATAGTTGAACAAAAACTTGTAAAAATTGTGCAAGGAACGTGTCCTGTAACTTTTCTTAGGAAACTCTGGTTCAGAAAATATCATATCTTGAAGTCCATGTTGGTGAACAATTTTCAAGTATTTCTGATAATCAAATTTAAAAATATTTCCCCAAGTCGATCGAATTGCTTGTCTGGCTTGAAAATTTTGAGAAGCTGAACAAACTATGACTAATAAATATACAGGTCTCTTGGTCCATCGTGGTTCTTGTAAAGAAGTTATAATTTTTGGTTTTACATACAATTTTAAATCTCTGCTTGCGTTTAGCCAATATGAAAATCTGTCGACATCTGTTTCATCAAATAATAATTTATTTATAAGTGATGATACATGGTAGTTGAAATGATGAAGTAGTAGTATCTGGAATAGTATGAAGGCACAGATTATGTACTTTATAAATTTGACTGTTGCAAAACGCATTGGATAATTATTTTTTGACAAATTAACACTCCAAATGATTCTTAAAATAACTTGGTGGCGCAGCTCGTCATTTGTTTTTTTATTTAAAATTGAAAGGTTTGTTCCAATAATAGATAATCTCATGATCAATTTGGTGCACTGAAATTAGTTGTTTGAAAAACAAATGAATTATTGTCAATAACAAAATGTTAAATGTTTTTACAATATTGAATTTGTTACAATCATCTAAATAAATTAAGATTCTGCCAAAAAATGTGGTTCAAAACAGTTTATGTGTTTTGCATTATGATAGTTGCTGAAATCTTTATTCTAATAATATACAGATCATCCGTATTCAACAGATTACCCGACGATAAATTCACATTTTGGTATAACACAAGTAGAGATTTAAAACTATACTTGAAACCAAATTCTTCAACTTTCATTCAAAAACCAAGCAGGGCTATGGAACCTACCGACTTATTAATCATGGTCTGTTCTGCAACTAATAACTTCAATCAAAGAACTGCAATTCGTTCAACTTGGGGCAACATGGATAAACTCAATTTTTCCAAGTTTGTCGAAATTGTCCAGAAGAAAAATTTGCACAAATATATG